TTCTGGTCGGTTAGCTGGGGGAAAACAACGGTTGCCCAATCTGTTGACTTAAGTCCTCTTGATTCTTCGAGTGGAATGCGGTGGGGCTCAGTCGTTCTAGGTTTGCCAGCTCTGGATTGTGAAACTCTTATGAGATTTGGGGGTAGTGCCCAGGGAGGGTGAAATTTTGGGAGGGAAAGGAGCTCCGTGGGGCTGTGATGCCATAAGAGTTCAAAGCTCCCAAACCTCCAAAACTGCCATTTCATCTGGGGGGGACCGATCTCTGTAGTCTGGTGGTGATCAATTATAATTATGGGAGAACTCCAGTCTTCACAGTGAGGTTGGTAACTGTTGTTTGCTGACGCCACCAGGGGCCAGCGAATACCCCCCCGCTTGACTCTGGAAGAACAATGGGAACCAGGCTCCTAGGCTCCCCACTTGGGAACCAATAGGAACATGGCGGGAGGTTTAAACCCACCAACGGGACCTAGGGGGGCGTCCCCAGGTGTGTATATAGTTGGCCAGCCGGCCGTTAGTCTTTGTCTTTTGTTGTCTACCAGTAAACCATGCTGATCACCACACCAGGATCAGAGGTTTCTACATGCGTCTAACCCACTACACTTCAGTAACTGTATGCAAAACCTCCCTGCAAGACTTCACCCCTCGGCCCTAGATGCAAGAGGTGCTGGTAGCAGAGGAGGGAAGGTTGCCAGCTATGGATTGGGAAACACCTGGAGCATTTGGGGGTGGAGCTTGGGGGGGTTGGGGGATGGGAAACACCTGGAGAATTTGGGGGTGGAGCTTGGGGGGGGTTGGGGAGGGGGGAGCCTCAGCAGCGTCTATTGCCACAGAGCCCACCCTCCAAAGCAGCCCTTTTCTCCAGGGGAACCGATCTTGGCCATCTCTGGAGATCAATCATAACAGTGGGAAATCTCTAGGTGCCATCTGGAGGTTGGCAATTCTAGGAGGAGAGAGGGCACGGTTTTGTTCTAGTTTGGCATGTAACACAGCTGAATCCTGACACTGGAAGCAGGGACTAATGTCTGCATTCAAAGACACCCACATCCCCACCTGCCAGTATTTTGACCTGATTATCCAAACTTTGCAGAACATTAAACTGACCCAGCTGTGTGGCTGGGGGGCTTTTCGCCTCGATCTTTTCAGAAGAATCCTGCAGACGCTGCCTGTGTGGCTGAGTCAAATGTTTCAACATTAAATGTTTCAGCACCAGCCTAAGCCATTCATGACAAAGCAGTCAAATCATTTCAGGGGCCCTTTAAATCTGCCACTTGCCTTCAAATGCAGAGGAATGTGGGTGTAGAACCGCAGGATGGGAAAGGGGATTTGATGGACTTAGCCTGCAGTTGAGTGCAGGCATTGTTAAAGTCAAAGCCTTCAGAGTCAAGAAATCCCCTTGGCAAGCCCAGTATTTCCTCCCTTGGTGTCCTACAAGTCAAGGTGTGGCAGACTGTCAAGGGTTAATGCCTAATAGAGTCCATGAATCTTTGAGTGACAGGTTGTTCAAACAGAATTCTTTTGAGTCAGTTAAGAAATGACAGCTGAAGAAGAGACAATTAAGCCCTGACTGTGGACTGGGAAAGGGGCAGAAGGAGTGAGTAGATCAAGGAGGATCCCCATTCAAGTCAAAAAGGGAAATTGCTTATAGTTAAAAGAAGTAATCCCTGCCTAGTGAAAAGGGAGGTATCTCGCAAAAGAGGAGTGATCCCTGTCTCTGTATGAAGAAGGATTTGGGGAATTTAGTTGTATGTTTCTGCCTTCTAGAATTTAAGAGTCAGTGTAACCTATGCTTGCGAGGTTAATCAGAAACTTAAAAGAAAGCCTCTCTCCTCAAAATTTTGAAGACCTTGTTGAATAGCAGAAGCACTTACATGTTGGCCACAAATTATCTGGTGTTAGTGTGATTACAAAGTTATCCCAGTTTTTATTATCTGTTCACCTCATACATCCTACACCTGATTCCACCTCACCTTTTCTCCTCCAAGTTAAATAAAACACTTCGTATATTTTGAACTTTCAAAAGCTTCTTCTTATGTGACATTTCAGAAGTAGAATATAAGGAGGTCATTGTGCTCTTCCCTCAGTTCCCTGGGCTGAGCCAACATCAAAATACCTATAATAAAATGACTGGGTGGGACAGCCGTAGACAAACAAATAAGAAGAAAATTGATATAGGGGCTGCTCAGCAAGAAAGAAGAAGAAAAAAGGGGGAAATCCTGTGTGTGAGGGAGGGAAAAGGGCGAGATCACCATACAAGGGTTACTGGCTTTCGAACAGGCCCCTGTAACTGTGCGTGATCTGCAGACCTGCAGGTCACAACACTTATATTCATTTATGCAGATCTATGGCCATGGAAACGTCTTCAGACAGCACTGGCTCTTCGGCTTGGAAACAGAGATGAGCACCACCCCCTAGAGTTGAATTTGACTAGCTTTCAAGAAAGGGAAACCTTTACAGCAATATAATACTATCTGTTCAGAGCAGAAGAGCAGACCACACAGGCTTTTCCCCTGATTCATTTGCTGCCCCTGAACAAATCAGTCAATAAGCAAATCCCACTCACACACCTCAAACCATTCCAATTGGATTTAGTTAACACCAGCCAAGTGCCTCTGTGAAATCATGCAGAATGGCTAATTCTATTATTAAGTGGTATGAAGGGCTATGGCTCAGTGGAAGAGCATCCTTTTGGCGTTCAGACAGTCCCAGGTTCAAGATTTAGCATCTCCAGTTAAAAGGATCAGGTAGTAGGTGATGGGAAAGACCTTGGCCTGAGACTCTGGAAAGCTGCTGCCAGCCAGAGTAGGCATTACTGACCTTGATAGATAGATGTTCTGATTCAGAATAAGGCAGCTTCATTGTGAAGAAAGGGAAAGCTATTTTTAAATGAGATTTTGTATTTATCCTTTAACAGATTGCTTTCCTCCCAAATGGGGCAGGCCATGTATTTAAATGGTGAGCCAATGGATTGTATCTGGGGGGAAAGCCAGTTGAAACAGCCAGATGCCCAAATGCCCTTTTCTCTTTCGATAGGAGAAAGTCGAGCAGTGCAGAGCCTTAATTGTATCTGGGTACGAGAGACGGCGCCAGGCCTTAGATGAGGAGGAGCAGCTGCTTCTGAGGCAGCTGGAAGAGGAAGAACAGGCAACCCTGAAGAAGCTGCAGATGAACTGGGTGTTTGTACTAGGACAGTGTGCCGGTCTGCAAGACCTGATTTCGGAGATGGAACACAAAAGACAGCAGCCAGCTGCCTCGTTGCTCAAGGTGAGGCTGCCTGGGTTTACCTGCGGCAAAAGGTGATTGGGATCCTGTGTCCTCAAGACTGGAGCAGAAAAGGGAATTTTGGCTGTGGCAGGGCTGACAGTACCATAGGGTTTACCCACTTTTGTGGAGCCCAATCTGCCATTGCCCAGCCGACCGGCGGGGGAGCCCCGCCCCCAAAGAGCCTCCATCTGTGCCAACGTGCCTGGCACAAGGACGTCATCTAGAGGTGACATCATCGCACAGGGCATGTTGTACGGGGAGACACTCTAGCATTTGAGAAAAAACTCTATGGTTACCATAGAGTTTTCCCCCTCAAACACTAGAGCATCCCTGGCAACATGCCCTGCACGATGATGTCACTTCTGGGTGATGTCATCACGGTGTGTGTGTTTTGCGTGGGTGCCAAAAAGTCCCAGACATGGAGAGGGACCCCCACCCCGCCGACATCCAGGTAAGACCTGGCAACCCTACAGTACCATAACTGTCTGACTGAAAGTGTCAAGGACAGCTCAGGAAGAAATAGGGTGATCTCTCCAAGTGGGGCCTGGAGATCTCCCAGAATTATAGCTGGTCTTCAGACTGCAGAGATCACTTTCCCTGGAGGAAATGGCAGCTTTGGAAGGTGAAACAGATGTCCTAGAGTGGTATCACATTCCTAGCTGAGCGCCCACTGCTCCCTGGACTCTGCCCTCCTGATGCAGAATAGCCAGGAATTTCTCAGGCTAGAGTCGGCAACCCTAAAGATGTCTGTATTTGGAATCTCTGAACCAAGGTAGTGTCACTGAAGAAAGAAAAGAATGCTGATTCTCAGGAAATCGGATGCTTTGCCCAGTAACCCCCCCCCAGTTCCTATGGAATTGTAGTACCCCTGAACTGTCTCCATAAGCTACATCCCTGTGATTTCTAAAGTACTACATCTGTAATTTTGGTAAAGATGGATTTTGGTGCTGCAAGCATCAGGTTGATCCAACTTTTTATTGAAGGTCAGGAAACAAAACACTATGCAATTCTGAATTAGAGGCTCTATTCTCTGTTGTCCAGAATGAACTTGATAATCATTATTATTATCGTATGGCATTGTGTGCAGAATAGCCGGAAGATCCCAAGATTGTCTGGCAACCAGAAGTTCTAGCTCTTTTAGCATTATGCACCACTAGGTGGTGAGCTGGACTTGATTTTAAGGCAAGAGACATTTCAGAGGTGGTTTGCCATTGTTGCCTCTGCGTCGTGGCCCTGGTATTACTTGGAGGTCACCCTTCCAAATACTAGCCAAGGCTGACCCTGCTTAATAATTTGGTAAAGATACTGGGAGACAGTGTTGTATAGTGGTTAGAATGTCACAACTAGGATGTGGGAGAACCTGATTTAAATCACCACTTTGCTGTGAGACTTTTGGATGACCCTGGGCCAGTCGCGTTCTCTCAGCTTAACCTACCTTATGGGGTTGTTGAGAGGATACAATGGAGAAAGAGAGACCTACCTGTTTTGCTCTAAGCTTCTTGAATGCGGATCAAAAATGGGCTATGTAGTTTCCAGTAACTGTAGATTCTCTTTTTTCCCCACCCTTCCTCCCTCTAGGATGTGAAAAACACCTTGACAAGGTCAGTATAAACATAAATTTCTGATAGGGATGCCAGCCTCCAGGTGGGGCCTGGGGGTCCCCTGGAATTACAGCTCATCTCCAGACGACAGAGATCAGTTCCCCTGGAGAAAATGGCAGCTTTGGAGGGTGTCCCACATTGAGATCCGTGTCCTCCCCAGGCTCCACCCCCAAATCTGCAGGAGTTTCCCAACCTGTCAACCCTACCCCCCCTCTACTGGTGGCCAGGGGGGACCTGGCAACTCTCGTTTCTGACAACGCAGTCTTATGCAGAGTTACAGCAATCAAAGACCACAGATTTCAATGGGCTCGGACTGGAGAAACTTTGCATAGGATGGCACAGCTAATCTCTTTCTTTATTGCTGTCTAGAGGGACCACATAAATGGTACCTTTGGGTTTTGTGGGTTGATTGGTTAATTGTGGGTTAATTGTGTAATCTGCCTTGCGTCTCAGAGCTAGAAAGGTGAACTGTAAACATAGTAAAATATTAAACATCGACATTCTGTCTAGGAGTGAAAAGGTGTCGTTGCTGGAACCACTGCCTGTCTCTATGGATCTGCTGGATTTGTATGATGTCCCCGGTTTGATGGAGTCACTCCGAAGATACAGAGGTAGACGATGCAAAGTTATACATGAGATGGGGCTGAGGGGTGGTTCGTGCACGATTGATGGCTTTCATTTAGACCTGTGAAACGGAAGCAATCGGTGATATCGATCAGCTAAACCTTTGATTCCAGATTAGCTGATGGGGCTGACATGAAGCCAGGATTTCAGGCTTCTTGAAGCGCTGCCCCAACATTGATGAGAGGAAAGCTTAATGATGCCTTTCCTTCTTAGTAGGGATGGGCACAAACTGGGAAAATGGAGATTCATCCCGGCTCGTGGGGTCTCATGAACCACGAACCTTCCCATTTACAGAACTGGTTCATTTTGTAAGGTTCGTGATGCAGTAGAACGGCACCCCTGTGGGCTAGAGACACCAAACTCTCAGCAGATCTCCAGCCGAGTCTCCTCTTCTGCCAAAAGGAGATCACCCCCCCTTTGTTCTTCCAACCCCACGATTCTCAACGTCCAGGCCTCCTGGGGTCCCCCTTTTTGGCCTGGTCTCATCTGCTGGCCTCCCTCTGACTGCCCCATGGACCAGTTTCCCAGAACTCCCACCGCTTCTATCAAAAGGAGGTCACCTTCCCCTTTCTCCCCCAAGCCACAGGTCTCCACCTCCTCTTTCTCCTGCGCCGCCGGTGCACACCCCTCCTCCACATCTCCCTCATCTCCTTCCAGCCTGACCCAGGCTCTTTCATGCTTTCCTCCACACCCCTGGGCCCCACAAGGGCCACTTTTGTTTGGAGGGTCACTATTGGTGTTTCCAAGACTGCAGAAGGGCTGCAGAATCCCACCTTCTTCTCCACACCCCTGGGTCCCACAAGGGCCACTTTTATTTGGAGGGCCACTATTGGTGTTTCCAAGGCTGCAGAAGGGCTGCAGAATCCCACCTTCTGTTGATTTGATGATTAATTGATTGGCACCAGTGTGTCTGCCACATGAACCACCACCACCACAAACCTTGAGAAGCTCTCTGAAAAACATGACAACTTGTGAGTGGTTTGTAGGTGACCCAGTCTCATGAACTGAAGCCTCACAAACCACAAATCGGCCATATGCATGATGAAATTAGGTTCATGGAGAGGTCTGTGCCCATCCCTACTTCTTAGTTCAAATCCAAAGCTTGTGCCTATTTTATTTTTTTAGAACTCAGTTTATGTTGCTTTGATCCTTCTAACCTCAAGAACGACAGGACAGAGAGCATACAGCTGAAACCAGTGTCAATAAGACTTTAAAACTAGGCAGCCCTGCAAAGCAGCCCCGACTCAGTGGCAGAGCATCTGCTTTGCATGCAGAAGGTCTCTGGTCCAGTCCTCGACCTCTCCAGTTAAAGGGACCAGGTGATGGGAAAGAGCTCTGCCTGTGACCCTGGAGAGCTGCTGCCAGTCTGAGTAGATATTACTAACTTTGATAGTCCAACACAGTGCTGTCCTAAGAAGAGCTACACCTTTCAAAGTCCGCTGTTTTCAGTGGGCTCAAAAGGGTGTAGCTCTGTTTAGGATGGCACTGCGAGGTTCTGATTCAGTGCAAATCAGCTTCATGTGCTTACATGAGAGATGAGGCTTCTGTGAAGCTGTGGCTCACATAGCTGCATCATATCAGCCTTCTTTTCATTTCTGTAATGAAGTGTGTTTGAGACCACTGCCTTGGGTTACTCTCATTCTGAAAAACCCTGAGAGCCGCATCCTTGAGATAAGCCCATAAATGTCACTTTGTCAGGCCAGGCCATGTGTGCCATAAAATGTAATGCCAGGTACTGGAGATATAAACTTTATAAAGGACACAAGGGAAACCCAATTAACAATGGTCCTGGTCACACGGGCCGTAAAATGCGGGGGAGGGAAGCGTGGCAGTTTGGCCCAGAGCAAAATAACACGTGGCTGCCTGATCACAGGTCCCGTCGAGGTCCCGTGGTTAGGGGCGAGGTGGTGATCACACGACGATCCTGCAGCGCGGCAAAGAAGTGGCGCGGCGCGATCTCACCAACGGCATGCACGATTCTGCGGAGCAACAGAACTTTCGCTTTCCTCTTCGTGCGCATGCGCCATTCGGTGCTTGTGCGCATCCTGTGGAGACTTGGGGAAAAAGAAACCTGTTTGCGACGGGACATGGGCAGGCGCCGGGTGCCACGGACTACCACCGGAAACGCGATCAGACACCAGCCCTTGCCCCACGGTTTCCAAAAACTAGTACCTCAGAGGTACTAGTTTTTAACTCCGCATCTTCGGCGGGAAGCCTCAGGTTCGCCATGGGAGCTCTATGCTTCCCAGATGTTGCGGTGTGATCGCGCCCGGAAAATCTGCCTATCATCCGTCTCAGTAGTGTGGCTAATGCTCTGTGTGACCGCAGCCAATATTATTTTTTTTACTCCAAATACAAACAAAAGCAATGGATTCCTAGCAGTGAAAGCAAATTGATTTAGTGGAGAATCTACAAAAGAAGAAGAAGAAGAGATTGGATTTATACCCCGCCTTTCACTACCCAAAGGTGTCTCAGAGCGGCTTACAAACTCCTTTCCCTTCCCCTCCCCACAACAGACACCCTGTGAGGTAGGGTGGAGCTGAGAGAGTTCTTTCGAGGACTGCCCTATCAAGGTCAGCTCTTGTTAGAACTACGGCTTGCCCAAGATCATCCAGCCAGGTGCAAGTGGAGGAGTGGGGAATCAAACCCAGTTCTCCCAGATTAGAGTCCATGCACTTAACCACTACACCAAACTGGCTCTCCAAACACCAAACACCAAAAGCCCCAAATGTATTGCCCTGACCTGAATAATCCAGGCAAGCTTAGCAGGGTCAACTCTGGCAAGTCCTTGGATGGGAGACCTCCTTAAAATACTGGAGGTGGGGGCAGGCTTTATTCAGCCGCCTCTCTGAATATCTTCCAAGCCCTCTCTTAATATGCTCCAGGCTCCCAGTAGGGGTCAGTCACCAGAGGTCGCCATGACTTCCAGGTACATACACACTCACACATGCACACACACATATGAAAAAATACCAACCCCCCCAGCCCCAAATGTATTTAATTATATGCAACACTAGATTTCCCCCCCCAAGGGATAGCATAAAAGGGGGAGTAACTTTACCTTTGCATACATACCAGTTGTTTGCGGGCCAGGTAAGAGCCCTGGATGGGCCAGTTCTGGCCCCCAAGCCTTATGTTTGACACCCCTGCCCTATGCAGTTCTGTGGGATCCTGCAGAGTCCATGGGTGAGTGACAGCCAGGGGTCATTTCCTGCTGGAGAACACAGGAGCGGAGCTCCGGCAGTAAGGAGCCCAGGGGGTGGGAACATGCAACAAGCCCCGCCTCCTGCTCCCAGCAGCCCTCTGTTGGGCCATGAGGAGCAAGAAGCAGCCAGGTAAGTTACAGAGCCGCCCCCCCCAGCCCGCCTTCAGGTACAAGCTCTCCCTCCTCTGTGAGGGCAGATCTGCACATTCCCCCCCAATAGCTTGCAATCCAGAACGCAGTCCAGTGGAGCCTGAGTGGTGGGTGTTGCGCTCTGATACACTTCCGGTGATGTCAGGGGGTGTGGCATATGCAAATAAGTTATGCCAATAAGTTATGCTAATGAGCTCCTGCACCTCTTTTTCTACGAAATGACCCCTGGTGACAGCCATAGCTACCCCTGCAGGGCAGACAGGGTCGGTGGAGGCAGAGCGATGTGGCAATTTGGCAGCAGCTAGCAGGTATGCCTGTCAAGCTTTTGCACCCTCTTCTCTCTCCGCAGCTCCTTTGGCTTGCGCAAGAACTGGAGCGCAGTCCTCATTCACCATGCATCAGCCATGACAGCAAACCACCATTTTTCTTGTTATTGCTTTTGCTGGCACCCACTCGACTCTGCCCCACAGACCTGACCTCTGGCCCTGCCTTGGAATCAGAATATTTGCAATCAAGGGTCTGACCGAAACTAGTGTTCTGCTGCAACTAAATCTCAGTTACTCAAGAACAAAAACACTACTTGGGTGGGGCAGAGAGATTCTTGTCAATCAGCCCATGAAGGATTAGCCACCAAGCAGATAAAGCAGTCAGAGTTTCCAAAACCCTAATCCAAAATATCAACCAAGGAGATGGAGCTAGGGCTGCCAGCCTCCAGGTGGGGCCTGGAGATCTCCCGCTTTTGCAACTGACCTTCAGCTGACAGAGATCAGCTCCCCTGGAGAAAATGGCTGCTTTGAAGGGTGGACTCTATGGCATTGTCCCATGCTGAGGCCCCTCCCCTCCCCAAACCCCGCCCTCTCCTGGCTCCACCCCCAAAGTCTCCAGGTATTTCCCAACCCGGACCTGGCAACCCTAGACTGAGCACTGGCCATTGAGCAACGTGTGCAAATGTTTGAGGGCCTCTACAGCTTGTAAGGAAAAGCCCAAAGGAATAGGCCTGCCAACCTCCACATGGTGGCTGGAGATATCCTGGGATTCCAACTGGACTCCAGGCAACAGAGATCCATTCCCCTGGAGAAAATGGCTGCTTTGGAGGGCAGATGGCTTTGTAGTCTGCTGAGGTCCCTCCCTGACACAAACTTCACCTTCCTTAGGCTCCCCCCCCCACAAATGCCGGGTATTTCGCTGTCTAAAGCTGTCAACCTACAAGATGAAGCAAGTGACAGTCACATCGTCCTCCTCGAAGGTTTGTGACTTTTAGCTGCAGGCTGCCTTGAGGACACAAAGAGGAGGAACCAGAAGAATGACCTCCCTGGTTTAACAGACCGGAGCATGGGCAGTAGAACCTATATGCATAAGACATATTTAGGCCCCGGTCACACGGGCCAGATATCGCGGGGGGGAGGCGTGGCTGTTTGCCCCGGAGCGAACTACCACGCGGCAGCCGGATCAAACGTCCCGCTGGACGTCCCGTGGTTGGGGGGGAGGTGCCGATCATACCTCACTCCTGCGGCGCAGCAGAGAAGCGGCGCCGTGGGGGTTGTGTTGGGTTTTTTTAACCCAAGTGTTCGCATGCGCCGTTGGGTGCTTGTGCGCACCTGTGG